CCCAACTAAATATTCATCCAAAAACCCTAAGTAGAAGGAACCCATTCACACTTGCTCAGAGAATAAATGGTTTTGGAAGTTATTCCCCATGATCTCCTTACTTGCTTCAAATAAAGTTTACTTTGTGCACCAGCTCAACGTGGTGTATCTGTGACTCACCAAGGAGCGAACTCTGTTGGTTCAGTGACACTATTACATTCCATTTCACAGTTAAGTCACTTCCCAAGTGCACACAGTCAAAACCTGGAACAACCGGAACCTGACCCAGAAACCATACTCTTAACTGTAACTACACTAAACAGCCTCTAGAATCTTGCCTGAATTTGACCTCAAGGTTATTAATCTATCATCTGTCAAACACAACACAACCCCCCCCTTTTTGAAAGTCAAAATGTGCCCATCTGCTTTCCTTCTGTACATCTTCCCTTCTCTTCCCACATCTCAAAGATCCCCACCAATTACTCCCTCATGGCCACGGAACGGAATTTAACCAAGAGAAGTGAGCTCAGTGGCCTACCGAAAATTCCACCTACTGAGGATTTTTCTTAGCAACAACCAGTGTTCTCACTTTATTTGTTCCCAAAAAACCATCCCTTTTCCCAGAGAAGACAAAAGAAAAATTGGAAGTTAAGCTTCCCACCTCCCTTTGCCAATAAAGCCCACAGGAAGCACACAAAAGATCTCCGCTGAGGGCTGAATGAATAATTTTGGTATTACACCATCCAGCTCAACCAAGCAGGAAACTTTTTTAGTCTTCACTCTCCACATAGTGTCACAAACCCTTCCTAGTCGCCTCACTTTTACAGTCTTGGCCTTCTACCACATTCGTCTTCCTGACACTGTTCTTCAAAGCCTGTGCCCCCCTCAGACCTTCCCTTCCGCTAAGGGCGGCTGCTTTGCAGCTGCCTTTTCGGAATCTGAGTTTACAACGCTTCAGGCCCAGCCACACCAGCTCCCACAGGGCCCTCCTCCTTTCTGTCCTGTGAAGATCCTTTCTCCAAACTGCCCTTCAGCTTTCCAGCCTTCTCCCTCTAGGTCTCCTGACATGGAATAAGGTCTGTTCTCCACACTGCTGAACACCCACCTCCTTAAAGACCTGATTATCACCAGCTCTAAAGCTGCACGGACCTATTCTCCCAAGGGCCCTATTATTTTCGATTCCAACCCATTCCCCTCTGTTGTAATGGTTAGGAGCAGAGTAGCAATTTCCATTCTGTTTCCTCAATCTAACAAGGGAGGACACAGGCAAGGGCATTTTTCCAAAGAAATGCAATTTGCAGGTGTCTAGATAACCAATCCCACCCCACCCTCATCTGATCCCTTCACCAACATAATTACTATGTGTCCTTGACTCCAGCCTTGCCTCCCTCACAGAGCTGCCACAGCCAACTTTCCAAGAACCGAATCTCACCTGTCACTTAGCTGCTTAAAATCTACTTCACCCAACAATATACTAAACTTCTAAGTATAATTTTAAAAAGTGATTTCATTCTGGCCCCTGCCAGTGTTATCCTCTCCATGTCTGGCTAACTTCCCATCAGCACCTAGCATAGAAACTCACATAACCCGCCCTAAGCACCAGCTGTAGATCACTGACCATTTCTTGAACATACCATATGCAGTCATGCCTCAGAACATCAGTCCCAACTACTCCCTGCACTGCTAATCAGCTTCTCTAACTTGTCCCTCCGGAAAAACCCTTCTCTATCTGCACTGTCTGGGTTAAAGGACGCTTCCTCTATAAAACCATCCCCAAATTCTACCGCCAACCTCTATATTGCAGAATTAATTGCTTTCAGCTGAACTCCCATAATGCATTCACTTATTACGGTTCCGTATTAGACACAATTATTTATGTTTCACTCCTTCTAGCTCTACATATTTATTCAGGGCAAAGGCTGTATCTTATTTTGAGGTCTTTCAAACAGTAGGACCCATCCCCCCATAAGTGGATAAATCAATTTAGTGAGCCCCAACAAGTTTTTTAACAGATTCGAACAGAAGACATCAGAGGACACTGAGTATAACAGGAATTAAGTATAATTTTGAGAAACTTAGTTATATATATATTTGTATATATGATGGGTTGTGACAGAAAATAGATTTCCTGGGCATCTTGGGTGGCTCAATTGTTTGAGCATCTGACTCTTGATTTTAGCTCAGGTCACATCTCAGGATTGTGTCATTGGGCCCCTGCATCGGGCTCAGCACTGGGCATGAGGCCTACTTAAGATTCTCCCTCTTTCTATCTACCCCCACTCCCTTCTCCCTCTCTCAAAAAAAAAAAAAAAAAAAAAAGAGTTTTCTTCTTGTGAGTTGTAGTAAAAATAGTTTTGAAAAACTCTTATGTAACGTTCTATCTCCAGTGCATATTGTCAGATACCCAGCAAGGACTCAGAATTGACTACAGAAGTAAAATCACTACCTTGAGTGTTACATTAACAGCACGTTATCATTCCTTTCCTTTATCTGGACAGATATTCTTTCCCACGCATGCTCCCACAATCACAATCGCTTCTGTTCCTTGTGCTTTTTATCTCCAACTTTCTCCTTTAAAACTCAGTAATTTCCATAGAAATGTAGATTTCCAGACCCAGCTTTCTTTTAAATTGTCTAGCCTTCTTGGGGTGCCTGGGTGGCTCAGTCAGTTAAGCGTCCCAACTCTTTTAGTTCAGGTCAGAATTGCAGGATGGAGGGATCAAGCCCGTCGTCACGCTCCACACTAGGCGTGGAGTCAGTCTGCTTGTCCCTCTCCCTGTGCTCCTGCCCCCAACATGCATGCATGCATACTCACGTGCACTCTCTAATAAATAAAATCTTTAAATATAAGTAAACTGTCTAACCTTCCAATGCTAAATATTCCTAAATTTCACCCTCATGAATCTTCTATATCATTCAAGGAAAATCTTTCCCATGACCACTTCTTTCACGTACTAGCCTATCTATCACTTTTCCTCCATCCTGAAGTTTTTTAAAAATAAGGGTCGGCCAGAGGTCGACTGTACTCTGGCTTCCACTCAAGTTGCTGATGGGTGCCGAGTGCCAAAGGACTACACAGAGCAGCCCTTTCCCAGCTTTCAGCATCAACTGCTCTACAAGTGGCTTCTGAGAGCGCGACAACGTGGATCCACCTCCACGTGGATAAATATAGGGAAGCACTCAAAAATCTGCCTAGCTCATAATAAGTACTATATAATTCTTAATTTATTATCATTTATTTGTCCTCTTAACCCCAAAATATAGGTGACTGTCCAAGATTCTGCCCTCGGCAGTTTTCTCTTTCTGCCCCTCCCACCTTTTCCCCTGGTCTTGTCATCCACTCACAAGGTTTCTTCAACAACCCACCTGCAGGAGAAGCACACGTCTCTCTCATAAATCTAAACCCACCTCCTGAATCCCAGATCCACACTCGACATTCCCAAAGCTGTCTTTCCCCAATGTCCTTAAATGTTCATCAGTAACACCACCACTGGCTCCCATGATTTTCACTTCATAGTTCCTCACCACTGATGCCCCTACCACACGCAATCAATTCTCAAATTCTGTCAACTCTACCTCCTCAGGGTCTCTTTGTTCCATTTCCTAACTCAGGCCTTCTGTATCACTCATTTACTCTAGCCCTCCAAACTGGTTTCACACCATCCAAGCCTCAATGACATGCTGCTGTCAGATAAATCTAAATAAATAACTAAATAAATAATCATAGCTCTGATCAAGTTACTTACCAGGTCAAAACCCTTCAATGGATCTGCCCTACTTTTCTTAAAAAGCACAGACTTTTCAGCTGGGCATTCAAGAGCCTCCACAGAAGAGAGAGCATCTGTTGGCCTTCCTTTTATTCACAGTACCCACAACCAGGCCAAGCAGGAACGTTCTTTGAGTGTTCTCTCACTGATGTCTTGGCTCAAACATTCCTAATAAGCATTTCTCCTTGTACCTTCATGCTTCAGTCCGTCACTATTTCACCAGTCTTAAATGTCTACTCAAAAGTCCAGCTCCTCCATAGGATTTTTGTTCCTGGATGCCCTTCTTCCCCAGCCTCGAAGACATTCACTCTCTCTCCTAAATGTTCTTAGCCCTTGGTAATGACCCTTAGAGGCCTATGTTCTGCAATATATTATGGCTATTTGGAAAATCACCTTAAGCTCCTTAAAGGTAAGGACCACTCCTTTAAAAACCTTTGTAGCCCTTTTAACATCCAGTACAACTTCTGAGTTTTGTTTTTTTAAAGAAACTTCACTTTACATCAAGTCTTTTAGGAAATCTGGAAAACCTCAGACACCCCTAAACTATCATGCTAAACACCTAATGAAAACCTAGAAGAAAAGACCTAAGTTTTTAAAGAACTTGGGTCAGGGATAGGGAGGAAATGACTCAGAGAGCGTGACAAAAAGCAACTGCTTCTGTAGTTCTGTGTCGTGCACACCGTCCCTGTTACTTGAGGAGCTTAAACAGAAAGTCAAGATAATGATTCCAGGGCCAACTGTGCCATTTACTCACTTGATGCCTTCCAGTCACTACCCACTAAGACTTTTTTCATCTGTCCAATGAGGGACTTCAACTAGAAGATCTCCAAATCCCCCTCCTTAGGCATCCCGAACATCTACAAAACAATCTAACTTTTCAGGCACCCAAACCCCTGACGAGTCTTCCAAGCTTCATCTCAAGCCTCACATCCTCACACTCCTTCTTCTCCAAAAACTCTGGTCCTGCCCGCCCCGGGCTACTTCAGCACCTTTGATCCTTGTACTCAAATCGAAGTCACAAGCTGTCTGTGCCTACCACTCCAGCACTGATCTGAAAGTAGCCTCGGGAAAGGCAATGCATTCTGCTTAAGCCGAAGCTGGGCTTCCTCCTCCCGCTGCTGCTCCGTAACAGGAGCGCCCAGTGATCCACAGCAGAACTATGTCCCGGAGGTTGCAGCCCGCGTCCCTCCCGCCCAGGTTCTCTCCTTTCCAGGACCAAAGGGTTTTCTAAGACGCAACTATAGCCCTCCTCACCCAGCAACTCGAGGTTCATCCCTGAGGACTCCGGCCGCCTGGTCTCAGCTCCAGGAACGACGCCTTTTCCCCCCGCCTGTTTCTGAGACCTGCGTGTAAGTGAGGGGCGCCGCAAATAGCTTAGCGCAAGCTCCGGAGACTTTCTGGCTTAGAAGGCCCCGCGGCTTCCGCTTTCTTCCCCCGCCTTCCTTGTTCGTTTCAAGTGGGCTGTCCGTATAAATGCCTCACCAAAAAGAAGAACAAACTCTCTCGGAATCATTTGAGAACGCTCTTGACTAAGGGACAAAAATGTCATTGTCAATTAATACTTTAAAAAGTGCGAGTACTTGAGGCCATTTTCTGCCGAATCATATAAGTGAGCTACAAATTTCAGGCACATCGTTAGACTACTAGTCCTTGCGGTGTTGTGTGTTTGGCGGCCATGTCTCCGCCGGCTGCTTCCGATGCCGCAAGAAAGGTTCCGGGCAAAGTCCGAGGGACGTCGGAGAGCGGGAAGGGTCGGCCGCAGTGGTCGGGTGTGGAGCGTGGCTCTTAGTCCCCAAGGCGCGTACTCGTCAGTATGTATGCTTCAGTCTCCTGGAAATTACTTCCTAGTTGTAAGGCTGTGCCATTGGGCCCACGGAAATGTGCGATAGCATTTGTTAGGCCTCCATCCAAGGCTTTACAGCGTACCCAGCCCTGAGCAGGATGCCCAACACGGAGTGGAGGGAGAGGCGGGCTGAGTTCCCCGGAGCTTCCCTGTGGAAGGAAAGGAACGGCTTAGGCTTTCCCGAAAAACAGGACTGGAGCTGGATGCCCCACGCCCCGGGCGTAGATTTAATGCCCCTAATCCCAGCTCCCCCGGTCGCTAACCCCGCCCCTGGGGCCGTGTTTTCCCCTCCGGGCCTCAGTGTTGTAGGTGAAACTGAGAGCGGTCCTGGGCGTCCCTGCAGGGTTATGGGGAAGGTTAGATGAGCTCCCAGATGAGAAGCGCTTAGGACAGCAGGCGCCCCGTAGAATGTTAGCTGCTCTAACTGACGAATCACTTTACCCAGAATTATTTCATCCTGAAGCCCTTCAGGTAGGTGTCAGCCCCGTTTGACCAAATTCAGTAACTGAGGCTCAGATCACGGGAGGCGGTTAGCGTTCGTTCGCATCTCCGAAACGTGGCGACAACGACATCCCAAATACTGTAGTACCAACGGCGGCAAATACGAGTGCTTCCCTGCACGCCCTTGTCATCATTCGTGATCACCAGTTCCCTCGACCTCTGCCGGCCGCACAGCTGGGGAAATGTCACTGTTACATTTATTTCGGGATGAGCCTAAGCAACTTTTCACATGTACCCATGTGTGTTTTTCTCCTCTGCGAGGTGGCCTGCTCATGAACTTTGCCTGTTGTTCGGATGCAGTACTTGTCTTGTAGGATATTTAAGTGAGGAATAATGTGATCCGAGGGATGGTTAAGGAGGAAAACAAGGACGGTGTGAAGTAGGATTGGTTTAAGGAGTAGAAAGCAGGTAGATCACTGCAGTAATCCTGTGGAGAGCTGAGGAAGACCTGACCCAAAGCGAGGACAGAGGGAAAGAGGTAGGTGATGAAAGGGTTAGGAGACAGAACTGATAGAATGGGAAAGTTCTCTTGTATATGGAAAGTAAGAAGGTCAGGAGACGGGCTCAACTTCTAGGTTTCTAGTTTGATGGGGGACTCCGTTTGACAGGGCGGAGAATGCAGGAAAAGGAACAGCTTTGGCAAGGTTGATGGAGAACCCAGACTGGGACATGTTAGGGGTTTTTATGTTTTGTTTTTTTTCCTTTTTTTAAGAGGTGTGCTCTTTTTTTTTTTTTTTAAGATTTTATTTATTTATTTGAGAGAGAGAATACATGCAGAGGGGAGGAGCAGAAGGAGAGGGAGAAGCAGGCTCCCCCCTGAGCAGGGACTACAATGTGGGGATCCATCCTGGGACCCTGAGATCATGACTGGAGCCAAAGGCAGAGGCTTAACTGACTGAGCCATCCAGTTTCCCCGTGGGACATGTTAGGTTTAAAGAGCCTTTGAGAAATTTAAGTGACCATCCTGACTTGGTGTTCAAAGAAGAGGTTTAGGGGCGCCTGGGTGGCCCAGTAGGTTAAAGCCTCTGCCTTCGGCTCGGGTCATGGTCCCAGGATCCTAGGATTGAGCACCAACTCGGGCTCTCTCTCTGCTCAGCAGGGGGCCTGCTTCCCTTCCTCCTCTCTCTCTGCTTGCCTCTCTGCCTACTTGTGATCTGTCAAATAAATAAACAAAATCTTTAAAAAAAAAAAAGAGGTTTAGGCTAGAGATGAACTATACTTCATCAATTCTAATATGCACATGTCCCCACATTTAAAAATCTCTTCTATTTAATTATCTCATAATTATTTAGCAGTGGGCTTTTTTCTTTCTTAGTGCTACATAAGATAGTGTGTTTTATAAGTTATGGTATCTCTGATTTGATGAAAAACAGTATAATTAGCGGGCTCTGCTTTACAAGTGTTAGTTGGAACTTATTAATACTGCCAACCACAGGGCGCCTGGGTGGCTCAGTGGGTTAAGCCGCTGCCTTCGGCTCAGGTCATGATCTCAGGGTCCTGGGATCGAGTCCCACATCGGGCTCTCTGCTCAGCAGGGAGCCTGCTTCTCTCTCTCTGCCTGCCTGCCTCTCTGTCTACTTGTGATCTCTCTCTGTCAAATAAATAAATAAAATCTTAAAAAAAAAAAAATACTGCCAACCACAAAGGAAGGTACCCTGATTTGTGTGTTGAAGGGGAGAAAAGGAAATTGAACACTCTTCCTTCTTGGCCTGAAGCAACATGTCACTGTCATTCAGACTCTATGTGAGAAAAACTTACTTCTTGGCTGGGTTGAAATTCCATCTCATTAAAGACTTGTACAGATCTCCCTAAATTAAGCCGGCTGGTACTTACCTCTCCTCCAGGTAAAAATCAGGAATTCTCTGAGTGAAATGCCTCCCAAGTCAGCCGGGATATACTCTGGCAGCTGGTTCAAATCACAGGGAATGTGGTAAGGGCCAGGAGACTTTTGTCACATTTCAAGGATTTAAGCCAGTGGTTCTCAGCCTTAGCTGCACATTGCAGCATCTGGGGCACCGCAGAATAATACAGGTCCCCAAGTCCCACACCCAGAGATTCTGCATTAATTGTAGGATCTACCTAGAGCATTCCTAAGCATTGATAACATTTAAAAGATTCTTAGTGATTCTCATGTTCAGACAAGGTTGAGAACCATTTCTATTACAAGAGTGGGGGTGCCACCAAATCATTAGGAAGTGAAGACTTCTCCGAGAAAATGTACTCATGTACTTATGACCGCCATCTGTGCTTACTGTCAGAGATTACAGACTTGAAAGGCTGTTAGAGCTAAGAAAGAAAGCATGAAAGAGATAGTAACATAGACACAGCTCTCAGTTCTGGCAAGAAGGATTGGAAGGAAAGAAATAGTTATATGTATCTATGTATCTATGACATTCACTTGAAGATACACTCTACACTTTTGTGGGAAAAGGCACAAGCCTAAGGTTGTTCGTTGCAATATTATTTGTAATTGCAATATTTTGGAAACAATCTGTTTGTACATTTGTGGTACAACACACAATGGCATACTCAACAGCTGTTAAAAAAAATGAGGAAGAACTCTGTGAGTTTGATATAAAGTGGTTGCCAAGACATCTCTAAGTGAAAAATGCAAAGCACAAATGCAGCCCTAAATGAGAAGGGAATATAAGAAAATATGCTGCCTTTGTCCATTTGTGCAAAAGAAACAGTACAGGAAAGATAAATCAGAAACTAAGGACATTGGTTTCCTGTAAGGGATAGGTGGGGTAAAGATGGAAAAGAGGAGTAAATGAGAATGGGGTAGCAGGAGTGAGGAGGTAGTGATACTCAGAGTATATATTTGTGTAGCTCTGACTCTTAGAATGCTAGTGTTTCCCATACCCCCGGGATAAATAAATAACTAAAACCAACTGGGATGTTGAGAGAGCCCAAGTGGAATAAAAAATATTAAAAAATAAACCTACCATAAATCAAAAGCATAGCTACACTAAAAAGGATGGGAAGAACTAAAATGAGCCCTTGGTTGGATCCACAAGCCTAGAGACCAAAAAAAAACCCAAAAACCCTGCAGAAAACAGCTCCACTGAGAAGTACAAAATTGAATGGGCAGAAGTTTGAAGAGAAGCAGAATTTGCATAGTCTCAGAATATCTCCTGCAAGAGATCTATTAACTACAAAGGGAAAGATAGTTGTTTTCAAGTGTGAAATCTAGTAGAAGCCACCTGATCCCTTGATCTGGTGATAAAGGTCAACATCACCAGGAACAAGACAAAGCAAAACCATGAACCTGATACGATGCGTTGAGGACACAATGTTATCTGTCATATTCAGCCTAATCATGAGAAAACGTCAGACAAACTCAAATTGTGGGACATTGACAAAATAACTGATCAGTACTCTTCAAAAAAGTCAAAGTTATGAAAGACAAAGTCAAAGGTGCTTTTACAGACTGCATGAGACTTAGGAGAAATAACTACATGCTGTGTGGGTCTGGTCAGGAGCCTAGAACAGGAAAAATAAATGAGCAAAAAAGCTGGTAAATTCAAGAAAGGTCTTTAATTAGTAATACTGTACCAATGTTAATCTTTTGGGTTCTGACAATTGCACTATAGTTATATAAGATGTTAACAGGGGAAGTTGCAGGAGAGATGTATGAAAACTCTCAAGACTATATTTGTGACTTTTCTGTAAGTCTAAATTCAAGATAAAAAGGTGGGTTCTTTTTTTATTTTTTTGGTAAGAATGTTTTTTAGAAGCGGACATTAACTCCTTCCTCATCAACTCTTATTGAAGATGACTGACCCAAGTCAAATGCACACTTTGTACAGCCTTCAAGATCATTGCCTCATAATAGAAAGGAAGAGACAGAAGACTTAAAAACCCAACTTACTCACACTCAAGCAATTCCACATAAAGTTACTGGATCTGAGAAGGAGATAAAGAAGTCGGGGTGGGGGCTGTAGAAACTCACTCTAAGTTATGAACTCTGAAAACAATCTCTTGGTCCAAGTTTTGACATATGGGGTCTAGAAATTCATTTTCGAGGCTCTTCCTCCAGGGCTAGAGCAAGGAGTAGCCTCTTGGCACGAGACCCGT